CCAAAGCCCCGACTCACCTTGGGCCAGCCTCCACCACCATTTGGCAAGGAGGGCCACGTTCATCAGTTTGGAGTTGAGAATCCCCAAACCACCATATTTTTTTGGCCTGCAGACTGCTGCCCATTTAACTAGGTGATACTTCCTCTTGATTCCGGTTCCTTCCCAAAAGAACTGAGCTCTTGGAGTGTCTAACTTCGCGTGGACACCGTTAGCTAGTAAGAACATCCCCATTGTGAAGAGGAGAAGGGAAGAGAGACTTGAGTTCGTCAGGATGAGCCTAGCGGCAGAAGACATGAATCTCCCGCGCCACGGACTTACCCTGTTGGCCACTTTCCCGTAAAGGGGCTCCCACTCTACTATCGAAAGTTTGCGGTGCGAGATAGGTAGCCCAAGGTACTTAATTGGAAAGCTCCCCAGCTTACAATTAAGCAAGTTAGCAACACGAGTGTTGTGCTGCCCATCAATCCCCAAGGTGATGGCCTCGCTCTTATGTAAGTTAATCTTGAGTCCGGAGAGGAGCTCATAAGCTAGTAGCAATAGCTTAATCGAGGCAATGCTATGTTCGTCCGGATTGAAGAGCAGCAACGTGTCGTCAGCGTATTGGAGGTGCGTCACCCCACATGGGATGAGGTGCGGAACTAGCCCCTTAATGTGTCCGGCCTCCCTGGCTTTGGACAACATGGCAGCCAAGGCGTCCGCCACAAAGTTAAAAACTAGGGGGGAAATGGGGTCGCCTTGTCGCAGTCCTTTCCGATTGCGGAAGAATTTACCCATGTCGCCATTGACAATGACCGAGGTGTTGCCACTCGAGATCAGGTGCGTGATCCGGTGGACAAACCCTGCCTCAAAACCCTTTTTGAGGAGGACCTCCCGAATAAACTCCCAGTTTACTCGGTCGTACGCTTTCTCAAAATCTAGTTTGAGAATGACACCCTGTCCATGCGTACGCTTCACCTCATGGATAATCTCTGTGAGTGCAATTGGCCCTTCCAGGATGTTCCTGCTTTTCAGGAAAGCGGTCTGGCTTTTGCTAATGACACGTTGAGCAACCGGCGCTAACCTGGATGCGTAGGCTTTCGCACAGATCTTGAAAGGGACGTTAATGAGCGTGATCGGCCGAAACTGCTTAATAGAATCTGCCCCTTTAACCTTGGGGATCAAGCAGATAGCACCGTAGTTGAGCCGTGCCGGGTCCACCGTTCCTAGGGCAAACCCGTTGAGAATCGCTAGGAACAAGTCCTTAAGCGACGGCCAGAACCGTTTGAAGAACTCCACCAGCCAGCCATCCGGCCCAGCAGCCGTGTCGTTCTTCATCCCTGCTAACGCACGGTCGAGTTCTTGGGGCGAGAAGGACACCATCAAGGCGTCGTTTTCCTGTTGCGAGACCCGCTCGTGCCAACCCCACAAGTCCTCCCTGAGACTAAAGTTCTTTGTTTCGGCCGTACCCAACAGCTCCACAAAGAAGTCGAAAATGTGTGCAACTATCTCGTTTTGGGAGACCAAAGTCCCGCCCTCGGACTGCAACCTAAGGATCGTGCTTTTGCGCTTCCGTCCGTTAGCGTACGCGTGAAAATATCCCGTGTTGGCGTCGCCTTTCACGACCCACTTGACGCCACCCCTGCGGCGCCAATACTCCTCCTCCTCTCTTAGAATAGCCAAGACTTGGTTCTCTAAGTTGTATCTAAGCTCCCACTCGTCCCCAGAGAAGGGTCCTACGTCCGCCTGGGCGTCAAGGAGAGCAATTTCACCCACTATGCTCTCCCTGGCCCGTTTAGACTCGCTGCCATGATTGGCTCCCCATCCCCTGAGGAAAGCCCGCAGGGCCGCGGCCGCCGAGGACCAAAACTCGACTGGTCCTCTTTGTCGACCAACCTGATTACCTATCAGGGACCATCGATTCGTGACAAGTTGGCCGAACCCTTCGTGTTCGAACCACGCTGTCTCGAAGAAGTACCTCCAATCTAGTACTACACACCACGATAATACAAGCACATCCCGAGATACACGTAGCTCAGGCCACTGCCGTAAGCTAGGTAACGCACAGACAGACCGACGGATCTGTCTATGGCCGCCGCGACGATGACGGTGGAGGAGGTGAGGGAGGCGCAGCGCGCGATTGGACCGGCGACGGCAGGGGCGGAGCCAGTGTACTAGCGTTGGGTTCAGTTGAACCCAACGATTTTTCTTGGCCGAGTATATGTATACGTATACGTACTTGCATGAACCTAGTGAAAAATAAGGGTTGAACCCATCAAACTTAGAATGCAACGCTAGAAGCCCAAAAGCCCGTAAAATGAACTCCAGCCGCTCTAGCCTGCCACGCAAATTCGTGGCTTCGTGCCCCTTCACCTATTCCCCACCCCTAAAAAAGGGTATTCCTATTCTCCTGTACGTGTGTAGCCGCCAGCAGCACGATTTGTCGCCGTTCGCTTCGTCGACTCTCTCCCATTCGCCTCCATGCGCCGGCGACGAGCCCCGCCGACAAGGGTAGGTCTGGGTGGCAAGCTTGCCGCCTAATGTAAACCAAAAATTCAAGGTACCGAGTCACATCATCAGATCTCCTCTCCGTTGAACATGGCCTAGTTTTCTAATTGTTATTCCCCGTATTTTGATTGATCTAGGCTACGGGATGGTATTTTTCAGATGTAAACTAATCACCAGATTGAGAAGGTCATCCATTAGGGCTAGGCAAAGTGCACCAAATAGCACTCCAAGTAGTGTTCCGAAGCCCTATACATAGAGGTTGATTAAGACGACTTATGATCTGATTTATAGGAAGAAAATTTTGGAGTAGAAATTGTAGGGAACACGATGAGATATTAACTATATAAGCGGCTTCACAGGTTACCGCTTAATTTGGATTATACACAAAGAGAAATTGGAGATACTAAACTTAGATTTAGTCCAAACTAATGATGTGGACAAATAAGATATTACTTTTCCTCTGGGCAATCAAATTCTAAAGCTAGCACTAGTACTCTTTTGTTGTCACAACATCTGTGGATGGATGCTTTTCAGCTATGAATGTTGTGAAGAAAATTTGCACAATAAAATGGATGATTGGGTCATCAATGATTGTTTAATTTGCTATGTGGAGAAAGATATGTTTTCTGCCATTAGTAATGATCTGGTGTATGATCTTTTGAAGTAGATGAAAAATGAAAAGCGTACAGTCTAAAATGTGAGTGACTTTACAACTTCTTTCGCTTGATGATACTTATTTCTAAAACTTATCAAACTAACTTATCATTTCTTTTATGTCTTTAGAAAGATGAGAAGCTACAACTTGAGTTACAAACTATTTTTGATATTACTCCATTTATAATATGTAAGGAACTGGATTTATAATTTCTTCCGAAAGGTATGTCTTGCACTCTTTAGCTTTTAATGTAACACAATATGTGATAAGTAATAGCACAAGTCTGTTTGTTACGTTATTTTGTAGTGCTATACTCTTGTGGTAAACTTGTGTAAAATTTAGACTTTACACTTAATTATAGCATAGCAAATCTTTATAACGAGTCAATGAGTGAACCCAACGACAAAATTTTCTGGCTCCGCCCCTGGGCGACGGTGCTGGCCATCGGCACGGCGACGCCACCCAACTGCGTGTACCAGGCAGACTATCCGGACTACTACTTCAGGGTCACAAAGAGCGAACACCTAGTCGACCTCAAGGCCAAGTTCAAGAGGATGTGTAAGTATCGACAACAACAGCAACCTCTCTGCTCCCTGCATCATATGCATTTTTTTAGGCAACCCTGGATCATATACATGCATCGTCCACCATATATACGAACTGATACATGCCTTTACAGCTCGATTAAAAAAATTGAGCTCCAGGATTAACAACGGTAGGCCCATATATCAGCACTTGGGCTGAGCTGGTTTTGTGATACCATTGATCATATGAGACTTTAGCATGATGACTTTTAATTGGATTGTCTACTAAAACAAGTATGCTCGTCTCCGGTGAGGGAAAGGGCGATGACGGCGGTGCGTCTTCAGCTCGGCGCTTGTAGTCGTTGTTATGTGGTCTATGGACCTAGTTGTAATTTTTTTTACTTCTAGTGTTCTTTGTACTGCTATTATTGATTGTGAATAGAAGATCGAAAGTTTCTCCTAAAAAATGCAGCCTATACACTTATGCGGAAACTTATATACACATACAGCATATGAAATACGAGACTTGCAAGCTGAATAACTAACATATCATGAAATATGTGTGACAACATTGTAAACTTTATTATAATTGTTGTTGTACAAATACTTTTGTAACCTTGTCAGAACAGAAAAGTTTAAAAAGAACCATGGACTTTTTGTTTGGAACAGAAATCCCCTAACTTATGTTTCGACATTCACTGTTGAGTGGACGTCACCTGGCCCGTCCCCTTTCGTGTGAACAGTAGAGGGGTGAATCTCGGGCTTATTCGTCTTCCTCCCATGCTCGTCAGTGAACCGTGGGTTTCCTCTCCCTCCGCCAGCCGCTCCAACCGCGGGGGCGTGGGAACAACGGATCTAAAGTCGTGTTCCTGGTGAATTTTCTAGGCATGCATAAAGTAGATCTGGGGTGTTTTCCACACAAAATAAATCACATTCATAAGTTTTTGGAAAAAACGAAAAACATTACTAAATATGAACTATAAGATCTACTTTATGCATGCCAAGAAAAACTTTACAAAAAGGACGAGCATTTGCCTTTGTTATGAATTGTAGACATTATTCTGTTTGCATATGCAGGTGACAAGTCACATATCCGGAAGAGATACATGCACCTGACGGAGGAGATGCGCGAGGAGAACCCCAACATGCGCACGTTCATGGCGCCGTCGTTGAGCGCACGTCGGGCCATCGCTGTCCCCCTGGTCCCAAAGCTCGGCAAGGAGGCCGCGGAGAAGGCGATCAGGGAATGGGGGTAGCCTCTGTCCAACATCACCCACCTCATCTTCTGCAGCACCTCCGGAGTGGACTTGCCAGGCGCCGACTTCCACCTGACAAAGATGCTCGGCCTGCGCCCGTCAGTGAAGCGTTTCATGATGTACCAGCAGGGCTGCTTCGCCGGCGGTATGGTGCTCCGTCTGGCCAAGGACCTGGCCGAGAACAACCGGGGAGCACGCGTGCTGGTGGTCTGCTCGGAGAACACGGTCATGACTTTCCATGGCCCTGACGAGTCCCACCTCGACTCGCTGGTAGGCCAGGTGCTCTTCGGCGATGGCGCGGCGGCCGTGATCGTCGGGGCGGACCTCGACGAGTCCACGGAGCGGCCGCTGTTCCAGCTTGTATCGGCGAGCCAGACCATCCTGCCGGAATCGGAGGGAGCCATTGGCGGGCAGCTACTGGAGGCGGGCCTCACCTTCCACCTCCGCAAGAATGTTCCCATACTCATCTCCAAGAACATCGAGCGTGCGCTGGAGGACGCCTTCAAGCCACTGGGCATCCACGACTGGAACTCCATCTTCTGGGTGACGCACCCCGGCGGGCCGGCCATCCTCAGCATGATCGAGGCCAAAGTCAAGCTTAACAAGGAGCGGATGCGCGCCACCCGGCACGTCCTGTCCGAGTACGGCAACATGTCTAGCGTGTGTCTGTTCTTCGTCCTGGACGAGATGCGCAGACGCTCCTCCGAGGACGGACACACCACCACCGGCGAGGGCATGGACTGGGGTGTCCTGTTCGGCTTTGGCCCCGGCCTCACCGTCGAGACCATCGTCCTCCACAGTGTCCCCATCGCCTCCCCGTGAGGCCAGTAAGGCCTCTACGTTTTCACCTTACCCGTCGATCAACATAATAAGAGGGCATCTGTTCTCAGTCCTCTCTGTTGCTCAGTTGCTCACGGTTATGGCTGTGATTTAGTTTCTGAGACGTACTCAGTTTCAAAACTGTTGGCTGCTGGCCCCTGATGTGGCCTTTGTTTTCAGTTTCTGCTTTTTTTATTTCAAAAAAACTGAACTATGTATCATGTTTCATTTGCGTAATGGAGCACGGGACCGTTTCTGTGGTCTCATGTGATTCAATAATTTTATTCCTATAAAAGAACACTATTATGGCAATTTAGAACACTACAATCAAAATTGCTCACATATGAATGTCATTATGGCTAGATTTATTGATCAAGGATAGTTACATTGACCATAAGGATTTGCATGATAAGATCAGGGAGTTCAGCGACCTAATTATAGAAGAGGGAAATAAAATAATCTTTTACTAGCTCATTGTCGAGGTACGACGATCTATGGGACCAGCAAGGCCCCTTGTGGTCTGGCTGTGGGATCAACGCACACAAAGAGCAGAATCAGCAGCTCACACGGTATGCTCTGCACTTCGGTTAATCGGATATTTAGTAGCCAACTACTTAGTTTTAAAGTTCAAGCTGCTGGAAATTTCTTGGGAGAGCTTTTTTTTGTTTGGAAAAAATCTTTGGAGGACATACTCGATGATAATAAGTTTGTCCAAATGTTTTAGGGATCTTCAAGGCTCGCATTTTTGCATTGGTGGGCCATATGGTCTTGGGGAACAAGTCCGAGAGCGTGCAGATGCAACAATTAGGCTATCCTCACTGGTTTTGAACCACTAAGTCGCTTTAATAGTTCTAATGGAGCAGCTCTACAGGTGAACAATAAGCCTATCTAGTGCAGTGATGCTATTTTTACATTTGAACATACTTTCATAATTTTAAGCAGAGCAACTTGCCAACTCTATTGTTTGCAATTTTTAGTTGGTGGCTTACCAAGCTGACCGCTTGGTTTGCAACTCTATTGTGATGTGACATGTATAACCAACGTGTCGAAAGGTGTAACACAGGTAAGAATTATTTTTTTCTGCGGGTGATGTAACACAGGTAAGATGATGGTTGGTTTTGCAGGGCATGGACAATAATCAAAGGACAGAAGTATCATCACTAGACTTGAGTTGCAATAGCATCATCTGGTACTCTTTGCACACGCGACCTCCCAATGCTGCCAGCCGATCCACTGTAAGAGAATTTTTTTCATTTTTTTTTTTTGCTTCTTCTGCAGCTTTTTGTTAGACAGGCCTAATATTTTTTTTCTAGTTTCCGCTTCCTTTGTTCGTTGGCCTCGTTTGTACGTTGCGTCATCCTGATGCTTTTTCCTCTCTAATTAATACAAGGTGGCAAGCATTTGGACGCGTGTTGGAGGAAACAATTTATGTGCATGCTTATATAGCAGCACCATGGACACAATGTACCCCCTATCCTCTTTAGTTCATTCATCACTGATTGGTGAAACATGTTAGAAGGGATAGAGAAGGATTGGCGTAATATAATGGATGTATTATTGAGCCTCGAGGGCGAGTATATATCGAGTACAAGACTTGAAGGACAAGAACCTCTCCTGAAGATAAGGTAGGTGACGGATTACAAATGCTAAACTACCAAATACATGTAACCCCAAATATATCTCTAACAAAACAAACTAGAAAGCCATTTGATCGGGTGGTGCTGCACATTGAGGAACAGTGCAACTAATAACAATGATGCAAAGGAGAGAAGATTCAACAATTTTGATTAGCACAAGTGTTTGTTTTGGATGCATCTGCTGAGATGATAGAGCAATCGATTATAACAAGGCAACGCACATACTTCCTGCTATCTGCTTTCTGAAGGCCTGGTTATGTATTGCTAGCAGCGGCGGAGCCAACGTACAAGCGTTGGGTTCAGTTGAACCCAACGGATTTTGCTCTGTACATGCATGGAGATGCATGTTTACTTGATTGTGAACCCATTAAAAAATTGTGACTGACCCCATCAACGAAAGTTTGTCACGTGAGCGGCTAAGTAAAAGGGCCCAAAAGTGAACAGCCCACAAGAGGTCCTTGACTCCTTGCCATAATTAATCACCGTGATTTGTTACCTACGCAGCGGCACGCCTCATCGTCTTTCCTTTTTCCAACTGATCTCTCCTTCGTTTGTTCGTGTTCCTGGTGCGTGGCCGCAACGCCGCCTCTGACGGCCACAGCCAGATCGACAGCGGCAACAATTGTACCCCAAAATTTGAGGTAATTAGATTACATTGCCTCATCTTCTCTCTCTTATATATGTTCTATCTAGTCTAATAGCCTAGTACGATAGTGATTTTATTTTGCACTAATTTTTTGATTCGTTATTCTCCAGGGACTTTGATTGTTCTAGGCTATGGGTTGGTATTTTCCGAAGAAAACTCGGTCACCAGATCAAGATAATGATATAGGCATATCAAGGTCACCCATAAAACGTAGGCTAAGTGCATCAAATGTCATTGGAGCTAGTCTTCTGAAGGCTACTATTCATATAGAAATTAACTTAGATGAGTTGCCTTATGTATGGTCCGGCTGATCGGAAGAGAATTTCAAAGTACACAAGAAATCTAAAGAAGCAAGATGAGATTTGGCGCAGATATTCAACAGGGACCTTACAGGCCACAGCCTAATTTTGATTACCCGCAAAGGGAGATTGGAGATAATCCACGGAGATTTAATCCAGATTTTTTTGCTGATATGGTCGTGGCAAAAAATACAATAGGACAAAACTTTCAACATTACCGAATTGATTATCTTAAATATGCTATTGATTGGCAACTTCAACATTACTGAGATGTTGTCAACAAAAAGTTGCGCTACAAAATGGGTGATTGTCTAATTTGCTATGCCGATAAAGATATACTCCTCCGTCCGAAAATACTTGTCACCAAAATGGATAAAAGGGGATGTATCTAGACCTACGTCTAGATACATCCCCTTTTATCCACGTCTAGATACATCCCCTTTTATCCATTTTGATGACAAGTATTTCCGGACGGAGGGAGTATTTTCTACCACTACTAGTGATGCAGTGTTTAATCTTTTTATAACGATGAAAGATCAGAAGGGGACATTCTAAAATGTGAGTGCCTTTACAAAATTCTTTCCTTTGATAGTACTTATTCCAAACTTGTCAAACTAACTTGCCATTTTTTTCAATGTTCTAGGAAGATAGAAGCTACACCTGGAGCTACAAAGTTATTTCATACTACTCTATTTATAGTATGCAAACACGGGATCTTATAATTTTATTGACCGGTGTGTCTTGCACTCTTTATTTTTTTTAAGCCATTTTTTATTCATTTATTCATTATACTATTTTTGGGTGCAATAGTTTTGTTGTAAGATAATTTAAGATCAGATTTTGCACGTCACATATTAGTACCAAGTTCTCACACCAAGTCATGGAGTGAAACCCAATGGCCAAATTTTCTGGCTCCGCCCCTGATTGCTAGTACAGATTGGGCGTGATCCAGACCTCCGAAGGGCAGTCCATCAGCCGTGCAGACTCAGGCAGCAAGCCAGGGAACACGCGCTCGAACGTCCTCGTCCTCGTCTTGAGGTCATAAGCCCTGGCGCCTCCCCAGTCATCCACCCGCTCGAGCATCTCGGGAGCGTACTGCCTCATCCAAGGCGCGGAGAAGTAGAGCACGCCAGGCCTCACGCCGGGGAAACTCCTCGCCGGTAAACACGCCGACTTGTTCATCCCGAGGAACAGCGCGTGCTCCTGCATCGACCCCCGCTCCCCGGCTCCTCCTCCGGCATCAACGCCGTCGTCGTCGTCCACCACGCGGAACGTGAACCTGATCCCGTCCGGGACCGCCGCGCGTGCCGGCTCCCACACCGCGCTGACCTGCCACAGCCCGCCGCCCGGCGAGGCCACCAGGTGCCTGGTGAGGCTGGCGTCGTACTGCCGGAACAGCGCCACCGCCTTCTTCGATGGCGTTCCGGCGTCGTCGAGGACCCATCGCTCCACACCCCCCCTTGTAGGTCACGGCGTAGATCCTCCCGTTGTGGTACGCGCACTCGGCGTAGGCGTTCAGGGGATCTTGGCCCCAGTAGTGGTTGGAAACCAGCACCCGCCATCTGGCGTCTCCGGCCCTGGCGTAGGAGATCCACTCGCCGCCGTAGTGGACGACCGTGACGACGTAGTCGCCGCCTCCTCTGGACGGGCTGCCGGACAGCACCGCCTTCCGGTAGAAGAAGGTCGCCAGGTGATGCGCGCCGTACGTAACATCTGGGCTATGCTGGTATAGGGATTTGAGACGGTAACGTTCGATTTCCCCCTGGTCGTCGTACTCGGCCTCCACCCGCGGGAAGGCGGTGACCGGCGGCAGAGGGATCGTGCGCGAGGTGAAGAGGTTGTGGAGCGAGAGGTTGCAGAGCTCGTCCACCACCACCAGCCACCCGTCGGAGGCGCCGCAGCAGGTGACGAAGGTGCCCTCTGGGAACGTGACGCTGTAGGCCTTGTCGACGTCGAGGAGATTGCGGAGCTTGCAGGTCACGGCCGAGCGGCTGCGCCCGATGGCTGGGTGGGGTTCTGGTACCCAGGACATGAGCCATGGCGTGCCCGGAGGTGGGACGCCGCCGGCAGCCGCGGCCGAGCGCCATGACGCGCAGACGGTCGCGAAGGCGAGGGCTCCCGGGAGCTCGAGGAGCTGCACGATGCTCGTGAGGAGATCGGTTGGGAGGTCGGACCAGCACGGTGCTGCTGCTGCCGCCGCCATGCCGAATCTTTGCGTGACGTTGTGCTTGTGACGACGACGCAACTAACAAACCACCCAAAGAAACATATCTATGTACGAGTCGGAGAGGGAATTCGTTGCGAATTGGAAGGGGGGACGCAAATTTTGCTACGATTCCTTTGGTTTTTTTTCACATCGTGTCAAACACGCTTTTGATCTAATAAATCCCAGATTTTAAAATCATGTAGGATTTGAGAGGG